GCAGAAGCCATTTAAATACTCTAGCTACACCACTTCAGCACTGAACTCTATAATTGTGAGTTATGATTTATATTAATACTGTAATTATGAGTAATGAACATAAAAAATTCCACATACAATTTAAATAAACATTAAACATATCAGTGAACAAATTATTACAAGTAATGGATATTCTTTTATTCTTTTAAGGGTGCGTAGCTAAATTATTCAGCAAAAAATAAGCACCTTTTGAGCACTTTTCAAGCACTACAAAAATATTTTTAAGCACTTTCAAAAAATATTATAATTAGGCAGGTTTGGAAAGGTTTTGACAATTGAAGGTTTTATCTTGTTTTAACCGTCATGTCAAAAAAAAAATAATAAATAAATTAATTAAAAAAATTTGGCATTGTTTTTGACAATTGTCAAAAATCATGAAATTTTGAATCATGTGAAATGAATGGCGTTTTATTCACACGCTACGGACTGACAATGCGCCGAAATAGACTGGGGTTGAATTAATTGTGGGAACGTTGAATAGAACAATGCGAACTGTGTTTTTTTGCATAATTCGAAGCGAAAATCAGCATGGTAAAGGAATTTTGAAAAGGAGAAGATTAAGCACTTTTTAAAAACACCCAATGAAAAAAGCACTCTTAAGGGCTTTTAAAAATCGAAAATAAGCACCTTTAAGCACTTTTTAAAAAAGCTTCTCACCCTGTTTTATGAAATAGAAAGCTTTTTGAAAATATAAATAGCGTAGAACAATCTTTCCTTTTTTTATTTAATATCAAGTGCATTTTGCATATTATTAATCTATAATTATAAAATTTTCATTTGTTAGTGTATATTTTTAAAGATTAGTTATCCTCGGACTCTGAGTATTCTTTTATATCCCGGGCGCGGATTAAAATAATTCGACCTCGGGCAGACCTTTACCTCTAAAAGTGAGTCTGATGAACTCATTTCTATTAGCTTCCCCCTTCGCACCTCACTTATGTTACAACATGGTTTTCATTCGAACAATGCACCTCATTCGAACAATGAAGTGATAGCTAGTTCTCTTTTAAGTCTGCTCAATGCCTGTTTGAGTAACTAAATATTTGGCATTATTATCAGAAGTAAAATAAATTGTTTATATAATAACTTGTCTAATCTAGGAATGAAAAAATTTGATTAGGCTAATGAAAATAAATAAACTAATATAGGGCTAAAATTATCCCAACTACTTTTAAACTCTTTAAAATTCATGATTTACTTGTCGCTTCAAATAACTAAATTATTTTTAAAGATTAACGTTAGTTCTGTTTTGTTTTAAAGTGAATTCAGGATTTTTTAAACAAAACAACAACCATTTTTGGCCAGCTGGTAGTATCTCTCCTTTTAGTTAGCCTCCCCAGTCTAGAATAAAAATAAGATTAAAAAAAGAATGCGCAGGAAAATTTTTTAATCACCATTAAATTAGCATGCAGCATCATAACTCAAATTAGAATTATTATTTTTCTTTGATTCTTAAGTTTGTCTCTTTGTGATAAAAAAAAACCCGTTAACTTTTCAGACATTTATGCTTTTTCGTGTTATTTTTAATTGAGTTAATGAAATTGTCTGCGGTTATTTGTTTATTTTAGATTGCATAAAACAAACAAATAACCAACTAATCACTTATTTATGAAATGTTTTGAAATTAATTCTTCAAAGATGTCATTGTTTAAAGACAAAAGATAATTTTGTAAAGTAAATTATGATTTGTCTTAATTATTTTAAATTCTAACCATTTTCTATGTTCATAAATTTATTTCAATGTTGACTAAAATACATATTTGTATGAATGACACCCACTATTGATTCTTTTCAACAATAGAAGAACAAATGCGTAGAAGCGTAATTAATGTAGATTTTTTTTCCCTCTATTTACTTTTGAATTCGTCATATGACAGTATGAAATAAACAAGAGTAAATAAAAATAAGACAGATACAGTCTCTGCAAGAAATAGAATTAAAAATATAAGATAAAAGCTTTAGAATTGATTAAAGATTTAAATTGCAAATGATGTCTTGCAAATAAATAATAACATCGAAGAAAGAAAGAAAAGGAGATAGTCTGACATCAAATGTCATATGTATGAGAGAGATGTCACATGAGAGAGACGGAAACGGAAGGTGTGGTAAAAGAAGAATAAGAATGAAAGGAAGAACTCTGGATGTTGCGTTAAATAAATATTAACATCAAACACCTAATTTAAATAATCCTTTTTTTTTAATGAACGGAGAATATTTGGTTTTACTCAAAGAAGACAGAAAAATTGCATATTTTTGTGTTAACCGTTCGAAATTATATAAAAAAAATTAAAATTTAATAACCTTTAACTATACGAAATTTTTATAAGAGTAATATTTTTTTTTAATTATTATTTTCCGTCAGAGTACGTGGCAGCAAAAAATAATAATTTTACTGAGATTAGTTTTTCCTTTACACAGAAAGAAAAAAAAATTTTTTTTTAAAACGTCAATATATTACTTATTTACAGACATGCAAGTACATGACTGCTTTAAAAAAAAAAAAAAAAAAAAAAAAAAAAAAAAAAAAAAAAAAAAAAAAAACATTCTGAACATCAGAAGACATTCCCCTGTTAATAATTTTCACTTAACTGAATTACGTGGTGCAAAGAAGAAATCTTTGCCTTTGACATAAAATAACTCAAAAAAATAATAACCGCATCAATTAAGTTCTGATAAAAGAATAATCTCCAAACAATTTTGAAAAAACATGAAAAATTTCATAAAACACGAAAAGTTCCAAGTATTTCAAATTTTATGAGTTATTACTGTAAAAAGAGATCTCGGTGAAATTTTATGATGCAGCAATGACAGCGGTTGTAACTTTTTTTAACGTTAAGAAAATGCAATACATAAATGTTCTAGTAATAGTTAAGAGAGAATTATTTTTATTTAACTAATAAGAATACATTAAGTTGCTTTTTTTCCAAAAAGTTTTTGTTAAAAGACATTTTGTTCAACTAGTTTGCACTACTTTGAATGCAATGAATAAAATTATGAATTAAAGTCTCAATACTTAGTTATCTTTTCTGCTGTAATTTTGACTTAAAAACGTATTACGTATTGAATATAAATAAAACTTAATCCTTCATCAGTGTTATAATTTGCAAATAAAAATTGAAGGGCATGAGGCATTATAGCGCTCACACACGTTTTTTAATGCAGACAATTTTACATCATTAAACTGTTACTGAATATTGTTTTCAGATAGATAGTCAAAAACACAACACTCTTAAGTTTACATTTTTTTCTACATCAAAAGCCTCTTGAACAGTTCCAATTTACTTTATTATCTTAATTTCATTAAATAAAATAATTAATCGTCTGGTAGAAATTTAGAAGATAACAAGTAAGAAAATCTTCAAAAAAATGCTAGCCTTTGCAAAAAGTGAGTGAATTATTCAAGAAAATACGAAGAACTCAAGAATGCATTTTCACTTAGCACACTTCCGGGTTATGCAAAAATAAATATTTAATTAGAATAATTATTTTCTAACCCTTATATGATCGGGCAAATAGGAAAATTTTTGCTATCATTTGTTCAAAAAGCAACGTTTCTCATTTAAAAATTTCAGAAAAAAAAGGTTTTCCGAAAAGAAAAGCAAGGGTGTATTGCTACCGACTAGTGAAGAGCTTCTTATATTTTTAATTAAACAAAATTTACACTTTAATTTGAATGCAACCTTAAATATTTATACATTAGGCCAGGAAAACGATGGATATTTGTAAAAGACTTCATTGGCCTGAAACCAATTATGTCATTCAAAGTATTTTGAGCCAAAAGAACTTTTAATGTTCTTTAATGTTTCACAAGAACGAAAATTTTTAAAATGCTCATAATTTTCTGAAGAATTAATGTGCAAAACATGAATTTGGGTAAAATTTTCGAAATTTTGTTTATTATAAATTTAGTATACCTGTACTCTTAGCTTTATAAAAATACTTTACTTTTGTTAGTTCTCAATTATTTATCCAGCTATTGCAGTTTTTATCCAAAGAGATAACACTGAATAAACTAATAATTTCAAGTCTTTAAATGAGTTTATTTCAAAATCAGACTTTTTTCACATTTTACACCACTTTAAACACGATATCTCATGTCGTAATTAAAGTAATTGCCTACAATTTTTCAGGAGAGTTTATGATTATAACACACGTTTTTAACTACAGACTAAGAGAAAAAAATTCCAAAAATGAATATTTATATTATTAATATATTATGGTAAATGGAATTATCTTGTTTCTGCAAAATAAATTTCCATTTTGAAACACATATAGTACCACTTTTTGCAAAAAGGAACCGTTCTTTTAGAACACTAGGAACATTTGTTAACTGCAGATCTATATAATATGGAGATCTATATTTATATATCTATTTTTATACATATATAATATAGAGAGCAGAGTATCGCCATATTATAAAAAAATGTTTGAAAGAAAATTAATTTTTTTTTGTACTAAATTAATTAAAGTTAGTTGAAAATAATAAATTTGAAACAAAAAATAAAGTATGCATAGATAATGTCCGAAATACATGTAATATTTCGTGCAATTCGATCACATAGTTTTTTAGCATCATGGTTCCAAGTACTTAAACTTTCCTTATGATTCACTAGTAATTTCCATATAATAAAAATAACTTTCATTTTTTACTGCTAAATTTTAATTTAATAATAATTTTAGTTCTTACCTATACATAGAGATAGTGTTAGAATATTAAGAAAAGAAATTTTTACTTAATTTTTTTTTTTTTTTTTTTTTTTTTTTTTTTTGAAGTGATAGATCATCACGAATTTCTGTATTAGGACCTAAAATCCCTTAGTTATTAGTTTGAAGTTTCAGTCTAACATCTACTTTTTTTTCTTTTGAAAATCTATCAGTAGTATAGTGGCTTTGAAAACTACACATGTAATGAAATTCTCATTCTTTCAAATTTAAAAGGGAAAAATAATATAAACCAAAAATAATTGAAAAACTAGCACAATTATTTTATTCAATCATTTATGGATACATCACAAACATTAAATCTATAAATCATCAAAACAGCTTTTAAGTGGCACTAATTAATGTTTTTATACAACAGTATAATTGGACAATACAATAAAATCAATTATATTACAGAATATTAAAAAAAATCAATAATTTGTTTTCAGTCGTTCAATGTTACTTTAATATGAAAATTTTAATTCATACAAATGAAATTTTCTATACACAGTTTACAAAAATTTAACAATTTTTCTTTTTAACACCCGTAAATTAATAATTTGTTTTCAGTCGTTCAATGTTACTTTAATATGAAAATTTTCATTTATACAAATGAAACTTTCTATACACAGTTTACAAAAATGTAACATCTTTTTCTTTTTAACACCCGTAAATTAATAATTGGTTTTCAGTCGTTCAATGTTACTTTAATATGAAAATTTTCATTTATACAAATGAAACTTTCTATACACAGTTGACAAAAATTTAACATTTTTTTCTTTTTAACACCCATAAATTAATAATTGGTTTTCAGTCGCTCAATGTTATTTTAATATGAAAATTTTCATTTATACAAATGAAACTTTCTATACACAGTTTACAAAAAATTAACATTTTTTCTTTTTAACACCCGTAAATTAATAATTAATAATTGCTTTTCAGTCATTCAATGTTATTTTAATATGAAAATTTTCATTTTTACAAATGAAACTTTCTATACACAGTTTACAAAAATGTAACATTTTTTTCCTTTTTAACACCCGTAAACATTACAATCATTCAATTTACAAAACTTTTTACAGATTGAAAAAAAAATTATGAGTAAAAAATATTTCTTGAAAAATATTTGTGACAAAAAAATTATAATTTTCAAGAAGTTAAAAATATATATAAGATATTAATAAATTTCAAAACAAAATTTTCTTATGTACGTACAAATCAAGACATTTGCAAAAAAGCAATGTCCATTGACTATTTTTTTTAAAAAGATAAAACTTTTTTAATTCATTATAAAATTATAATTTCTCAGCACCATTTTTATTTCTTTTATCACATTAAACTTTTGTACAAGATAATAAATGTCATATTGACATACATTTATCATACTATGCATGTGAAACATGTAATTGATATAATTTAGAATTTATCAAATTCCATTATTTTGATATAATCCAGTATAATTTCTGTATTATAATTTTCTCTTAAAAATGTCGCATTAATAAAATATATAGTCTGATATTATGTAAAATATTACTTTAAAGTAATATAACTGAAAAAAATATTTTGATAATACGGTTTTTATATGTTTATCACAGTAATATGGAAATCATTTATTAGACAATCCTGAAAAAATAGCTTCATTTTAAGTATTTAAATTAGAAATGAATGAATACACAAAAATATATCAAGATATAATCCATATTATTTAAATAGATAAATTTTTACAAGTTGTGTAATTGTATCTAAAATGCATTATACAAGAGTGTTCAGCTGCATTTCTAAGACAACAGCAACAAGCTTTCAGGAACAAGTTTCATTTGATTGGAGAAAATGATGTGGGACGTAACCAACGACTCTTCATCTCACGAATTAGAGGTACTGCAATAAAATTAAAATTACTTTTATAGATTTAACTAGTTAGTTAAAATAAAATCATCTTACAGTAGTCAAAAGGGTAAAAGTAAAATAAAGAAATATATTACACAACTTTAAAAAAAACTAATTTTGAAAAATATCTTAATTACACATTATTATTAATAATACTTAGAAATTGATAAAAGAGAAGAAAGAAAATTTAAATTTTGAAAATTTTACCATCAGTGACAAAAATTGAATGATACGTTTCTGAAAAAGATGTCTAAAAAATTGCTTTCTTTAATTAAAAGGGCATGCAGATGAAAAAAAAATTAAGAAATTTTTTTAATTCAATTCTGGTAATGAATCTTTTTCAAATTCTCATCGACTGAATTGTATCTGCTTATTATATTGTCATCCACGTCATCCATTGTCATCCACAAACATTTTCAATTTCCTCATGGGATATAAGCAGCAGAATTTTTCACGGAACCAAACCTTTCATCAAGATTATTAAACAAACTAACATATGTGCTTTAAAGAAAAACAATTTTAACTTTATTCCTCATGACTTTAAGTTTTTTTTAGGTGGGGTTCTGCAAAAGATTAATTTTAAATGCCACTAAATAATGAAAAATACTTGATTTGATTACAAAATAAAGACTTGGTAGTTGAAAAAAAAATCATGGAAAGTAATAAAAAAGAAACATTACATAAAAAAAAATTAAACTTATTACAAACATCTATATCTATATAGAATTATTTAGAAACAATTTAAACTTTTAAAGTAAATACATTAAACTCTAATAAACACATGCATAAGCAACAGACGGAAATCAGAGCACATATAAAATAGGAGAAAAATAATGCAATACTAAAATAAATCAGTATTAAAATAAATATAAAAAAATAAAAAGCATTATACCTCATCAGCAACCAAAAACAACAGAAGGAAGTGCTGGGTTTTATTATAATCCAGTGGCATTATACAGCAATGCAGTATTAGGGCACAGATGTGCAATATTAGTGTACAATGATTTGAAAAAAGTTAGATGCATTATGATTTCAGATTAAAATTTTATTTTATATTAATGTTATATTTAATGTTATATCTACAATTTATATTTTTATATATATTTACAATTTATATGTTATATTTACAATTAAATGTTATATTTTAGAGGTTCTTATTTTGTGTTCTTAAATTCCAGTTGATAATGTAGGTTGAGACAATAAGAGCATGTCCAACAACTTTTGCTGTTCGCCATGTTGTTGTAACAAAACCCAGTACTTTGTTATAAAGATAGTTGTTGGCTGCTGATGACTTAAACCTTTTATTTATTTTTTTATATTGATTTATTTTAATATTGAATTCTTTTTCCCATATTTTATAATATATACACATACACTACCCTACAATAATGGAAGTGAGACTTTCAGTGTTTGACACGTTTTAAAATTTCTCCAGAAATACTTTGAAAATCATTTTGTAACTTTAGAGGTGTAACAATAAAGTTTCAAGCTTTTAAAAGTTAAAGAGACCAACAGTAAATTACGAAAGAAAACAAGTGTTTTTGAACACCCTATGATAGAAAAACCGAACAAAACTTGTAACTTGTATCGATTGCTTTGGTAGTTATTTTCAACAACTGCATAAAATTTCACAAACTTTGCTTAAATATTTATGGAGATATGGACATTTCTATAGAAAAAAAAAACAAATTTTTTGTCGTATGTTTTTTTTGCTATATATGTTTGTATATGTAATAATATTAAAAAAAATTTATGAAATTCAAAGTTAATTAAAAAATTGTTTTAAAAGTGGAAGAGAAGTAGATCGAAGATATGAGCATTTAAAATATTTATTTTATGCTGCGAATGCCCGAAAAATGTTAAACATTTCTTTCCATATTTTTGTAGTGAATTGTATCTTTCATCCAATAAAAAAAGTCTAATTTAAATATCTTAAAAATTTAAAAAGTTTCGAACATTTTCTTAAGTAGTTTTTGTACTTTCTGAAAGAAAGCTCAACATGATAAGGGGCTTTCCACAAATTTTATTTTGAATTATGAAACAAGATTCATTAAAAATGACATCAGCATTGTAGGGGAGCATCCCCCATAAATATTTTTTGCATGTTTATTTCTTTATACCAACATTTTTTGGTGCAGGGACGATTATCATTAGTTATTAAATTTTTTCTAAGAATACAAAATGCAATTTGTGGAAAATTCCTTATCATTTTGTGCTTACAAAAATTACTCAGAAAATTGATTGAAAATGTTTAAAACTTACTACTTTTAAAGTACTATTATATTAAATACTTTATATTAAATACTATTTTTACTATTATATTATTTACTTTTATACTATTTTTATTTACTTTTATTTACTTTATATTATATTTTTATTTACTTTTATACTATTATATTAAATACTTTTAAAGTTACATAAAAAAAACTCAAGACAAAAAAATTAGTTTTTCATAAAAATATTCATATCTCTATAAATATTTTTAAAAAAACTAATGAAATTTTATGCAATAACTGAAAATAACTGCCAAAGTAATTGAGGATAGTAACAAGCTTATTGTTAGATTTTCGGACATAGGATGTTAAGAAAAACCCTGCTTTCTGTCCTTCTTAATTTACTGTTGGTCCTTTAAACCTTTTAAAGCTTGAAACCTTACGGTTAAACATGAAAAATCGCATGAACTAAAGTTACAAAATCTCTCAAGTTATTAGTTAACAAGTATTACTAGTTAACTAGTATTCCTTGAAAAAATTTTAAAAAATATCAAAAACTGAAAGTGCCTCTTCCATTATTGTAGGATATTTAGTAAGATAAATAAAATACCGGTATATGCAACACATTCATCCCAGCCCGGCTTCCTCCATGCAGCTTCACGGAATTCTTTTCTACTCATAAGATCTTTATAACCTAAGAAGTAAGATTAAAAATTTATTTCACACAAATCACATGCTTGTAAAATATGAGAAAATAAACTGCAGTTTCAAAAGTTTAACAAAAAATTGTTTGGGAAGTACATTAAACAAAGAAGATACAATGATTACTAGCTTTCAGCCTAATCATAAGTTTTTCAAGATGATAGATTTTTATTTCTCACTCTCAGAAGACTAAATTTAAACTAAGTCAATTTATTAAAACTTATTTTATCCATAAATTAGTAACACAAAAAAACTTCTAAGTATAGCCAAAAGATTTTAGTAGTTGAACATTGAAAAATTTAAAATTTTAGTCTTACAATAATACTTAATACATTCTTAACTACAATTTCAGAAATTTATGTCCTATGATGCAATTTTTGTTACAAATTTAGTAAAGTAGGAAATGGGCCAGTTATAGAGGATGAGCAAACTTAAATCCTTTTTGTGACTTTTTTTTTTGTTGTTGTTGATATATTTATTAAATTTTCGGGCATTTCCCTAATTTTTCCGGATCGCTAAAATTCCCTGACTGTGGCTGCCATAATGAAACATACATTAAACTAAATAGTAAAACTAAAATCTAATTCACTGAAATCTCAAAATCTGACAACGTATGTTTATATAAAATCATTAATGGAAGACCAAAGGTGCGAAAAGTGATAACACACATATAATAAAAATTTTACTTCCCTACAAGTAGATAATCATACCTAGCACACAAACATTCATTCTGCTTAAGCAGCATTTACCAATAAGTTTCCAGTTTAAAATATGTAATAGTAAATATATTTTATAAAAAAAATAAATGTTTATACCTAAAGTACCAAAAGTATGGGTTATCACTTTTTACTCCAAAGGTATTAATTATTAAAAGAATTGGGAGAAAATTACTGTTGTATGACAAACATTCAAATTCTTGAAATAAAAAGAAATAGTTTAAAACCTTCTGGGCAAAATGTAAGACGTGCTTAAAAGTTGGATGCCATGGCATCGTTAATATTAATTTGAGTAAAAAACAAACACTCAGGGATAAAAACTATTCATCTAAAAAAAAACTAACAAGCACCAAATATCAAAAAAAAAAAAATTTAAAAAAAGTAAATGAACGCTGGCATAGGTTGAGTGATAATCAAGGGTGAAGAAGACAAACTGGGCCTATGCCAGGATCATTGCAATAAACTGACAGTAGAAAATGAAGCAACCTCATGTACATTTAAAACATGGTTCTAGCAAAAATGTATAAAACATTAGATAGAAAAGTATAAAAATTGCAGCCTTTAAATAACACAGGCAGTTTAGAAGTTTGTATGCAACAACCTTCAATATAAGGAAGACATCAGAAAGAAAAAAATTAATGATTATTAAAATATATCTTATTTGATGATGTGAAAAGTATAAACCCAAATTTAAACCAGAACCTTGAAATGGTGAATCAACATTTCAGCACTTTTTCATATACCAGATAAGTTTAAAAATACATGTTTAAACATTTAATATGTTTACAGTTTTTCCAAACTCAATTAATATTTACTTGGAACAGTAAAAAGTGTTAATTAGTTGATAATTTCATATAGTATTGTGTGTGCTTAAATACAACTTTTAAAGATAATAAGATAAATATTTAAAACTGCCGGTTTTACATCGCATTCATCAATCTACTTTAATGGCTTATAAAATCAATACTTATTAAGATAATTTTTAAATGTTTGCATGCAAAATATGAATTTGATTTCCTACAATTTGTTCGAAGTTCACCTGAGTTTTAAGTAGAAAGATAGAATATAATAGAAATAAGATTTAATATTTGTGAGCGATACCTAAATTGTATGACATATTTTAAAATTCAATTTATTTTATTCAGAAGATACCTGCTCCAATGTTACTGAAAATTAATGCAACAAAGAAAGAATAACAATTCAAACAAATATATGAAAAGACTGCGAAAGAGAAGGTCAAAATAGTTAAATAAGCAGATAATAGTGTTAAGTAAAATAATTGATGCGTACATTAAAAACATTGACATTTGAAGACTAGTTTTGCACATGAAAGCTAAAATCTGCGAAATCTTTATAGCATACAATTGGAAGCCTTAAGCAAACCATAATAAATTTTTCATACTAAGTCAATTTAATGCCTAAAAGATCAACAAAAAATGTTTTCAAATTAACTAATACACTTACTCCATATATGGTGTACCATATAAAGTTGTCCAATTTGTGAAAAGAAACCAGCTACAGCACTGCTTTTTCTATAAGTAATACCTCTAGCCCTGGAAAAAAAATTAGATTAATAAATTTTTCGAGAGGGACAATTAATACAAAATATTTACATTTGTGTGAAAATTATACAGTGAAACCTGTGCAAGATGACCACTTTAGCTAAATAAATGGTCTATTTCGATAAATTAGTGGTCCCATATAGATGGAATGTGTCATTGTTTTTTATTTTTAAAAAAAAAAGCAATTTTTTGTATTATATTATTATGATATAATATCCTTCAAAATATTTATAAACATTATTAAATTTTTTAACATAATTTTAAGATTAGATATAGAAAATAGCCCATACATCTTGGAAATGATTTCTTTTTTCAGAATGAAATATAATTACACAAATTAAATGATAAACTGATTAGATTTAAAGAAAGAAAAGACTATGCTTATTTTATTAGTGATGTGTTAGTGATATATGTTAATAGATAATTTCTTAAAAAATCACTACAAGAGAACAAATACAATTAGAAATTAAGATTATACTTCATTCAACATATTTTAAAAAAATTATTATCATTTTTGGAGCCATTTTATGTAAAAGTTCATTACTAATATGTTTTATACTTAGTTTATTACAAATAGTTCTCCCATAAGCTCAACTAAGAAAAAGGTTTTAGGTTAGCTTTTTATTATACTAGATTAGTTAGGTCAGATTTTTAATACTATTTCATCAATTCAGTGAAATTCTAGTGCCAGAGATAGTGACAGAGAAAATGTCCTGAAGAGGTTTTCTTTATGAAAGATGTAGAATAGCTTTTAATAGCACAATAAGAAAAATCTGATTTATTTCAGCTGTCAACATACAAGTTAAATGAAAAGTTGGGTTATAAATGTGTTTCTCCCATTTATTACAGAGGATTAATTATGATCAAGAACAATTCATTATAAATAAAATTTTAGGTAAATTTTACTACCAAGAGTTTTAGTACTAAAATACATTACTGTATTGCTTTTTCCTTTCATAATCTCTGTAACATAAAAATAAAAATGAAAAATTTTATCAAAATCACACATTTTTATTTAAGTTAGAATTTTATCTTAGCAGATTTATTGAGTTAAAATAATAAATACTAAAGGTTTTCATATTTTTAAAATTAAACTTTTTGGAAACTTTTCTATGAAACCTATTTTAAACTCATTTAAGTTTAGATTTACATAATTACATTAATTTTTCTCACACTTCTGGCGGAACAAAAGAAAATGTACTCATTTTCATCATAACCTTTCGGAACCAATTCTATTAAAAATGTGTAATTCGCACATACTCACTAATAATAAATATACATGGAATTGAAATCCTAGCATTAGTAACTAATAAATTCTAAATTAAGAAATTTTCATATTTATCAAAAAGAAAAGAATGTTGCATTTTTTTCTTTAAAAAATGCATTTTTATAATAAATACATTTAAGGTATATATAAGACAGCTAATACCTGTAATTCACAATTTTTTTCAATTATCTGTGCATAATTTTGAAAATAAGTTTTCAGTGCTTTGTTTGATAGTATATATAAAAATGTGATGTAAGCTTGTTTAAATAATTTTTAAGTACTTTGTTACTTTAGAAAGGTTTTTTGTATTACTCTAAATCTTTTGATAAACAAGAAAAAAAATTTTAATCATCACTTTTTAGCATCAATGATTTAAATCGAGGATTTTTTTTTGTTTTGTGAATTAAATAGAGGGTTGGTTTTAATGTTAAGTCAATTCATTTCTTGTCCTTTATATCCCTATACCCTATGCAAGAGAACAGGTCACAAAACGACAACATGTTTGCTCTTGGTTTAGATATAAGCACCGCTTTTCAGAGAAAATAAGGAAATCTAATTTCATTCACAGCATTTCACAGACAATCAACATACTCCTATCCACCAGCAGTTGAAGAGGTAACAGATTTTGAATTGCAGTTTTTAAAAAAAAAATTCGCAAATTCGAATATTAGGAAGATAAGATACCTTCTGAATACAGAGAAAAATAAAAGTCAATAAAATAAGTTTCAAAAAATAAATCAAAATTGCTGATAACCTTAAACGACGTAATGACCACAGAAACACACAAAGGGATAATTTTAATATTCAAATGAACACAAAAAATCTGAACTGAGTGATTTTGATAACAATAAAAGATTGATATAACATCAACAAACAAATTAAGTCGAGACTACAGTGTGTGTGTGCTTAATAATAAAAAAAAGAAATATAATTCTTCAAAATGTATATAAAAAAAACTCATATTTAGGTATATCTTTCCAAAAAAAGGTTTACAATATTTGACAACTTTTCATGTAAAATTTAAAGCTTTAACTACAATAAACTTCTAAATTACTTAATTTCAAAAAAGTACAAAAAATAAAACATATGCATAAAATAACATACCAATTATTTCCCCATTCAATCATGGTTCCAGGCTGAAAAACATAAAGTTCATAATTATTAATTACGCAATTTTTTTAAAAAAACGCTTGTTAATATTTAAAAGAACTCCTTATAAAGCGTTTGGAAACAATGGTAATTTGAAATGCCTTACTTTAATGTGAAAATGTAATACAGTAGGGAACCGATTATCCGGAAGGATCGGGACCATCGCTATTCCGGATAACTGATATTTCCGGTTTTCTGAATCGCTACAAAAAGCTGTTTTTTTTATTGTTAAACCCAACTGAAAAAAAAAAAAGTTTTTTTGGAAATAATCTTAAGAAGAAGAAAAAACGATGGAGTAATACACTAATGATTATTTCCAAAATGATGGTAAGGTAAACATCTTTCAAATAAGAAAGAAAAATCCTAAAATCTTATGAGGAAAAAAAAAAATTTTTTTTTTTAAATGGCGGAAAAATTTATTGAATTTCGTTCCTGTTTTTTGGTTTTCCGGTTTTCTGATTTCCGGATAACCGGTTCTGTACTGTATTTAGATAGCATAATTAGCTACTTAGTTAATCTTATCATCTTTAAATTGCAAATCTGGCATTTCAAATAGAATTGCTTAATAAAAAATTTTCAATAAATATTTTTCTTTTACTCTTTTAATGTTTTTAGGAAATAATTTAAAATACAAATTTAAATCCCAGTGCCAACAACCCTTATAGAATCAGATTTAATCTTGAAAGACCTCATAGTTTAATAACCTTTACTTATTGAATCAAATCTCTCAGTACATAAAAATGTAGCTAATTTTTAGCATTAACTTTAGCATGTATTTTCATTTAAACATCATAATAAGAATAAAGCATTCTTTAATTACTAATGTAACCAACCATTTTTTTAAGAAGCGAAAATTTATTCAATTATAAATTCATAATATATGCAAGAAAGATATTTTTATTAATGAAGATCAACAGTTTCCTTTATCCAACATTCTTCTTTGGTTTTTATATATTTTACAAATTAATATTAAAATAAAGAACTTAAATCTGATGTGCCATCAAACACTTAAATTTATAATTGCAAATATAGAGAAATTTTTTGATTGCTAGAAACATAGTTTTCAAGTATCATTGAAATGAAAAATCATAATGTACAATAAAAATTTAATGAAGTGTATATAAATCAAAGGTTTTCCCGGGATGTATATGTTGCATATTTTTAGAGCTTCAATGGGAACTTTTATGCAATGAGAGAGCAAAAATCGAAGGAAACTGGCAAAGCAGCTTGTGGGTATGAGATAAGTGACAAATTTCTCTAACAACATGTAAGACTTGGGTAACAGTTTGAGAAATTGATGTTAACTCTTAATAGTTCTATTTGATTGAACACCCCAGCCCAATTCCATCTTCTTCGAGCTACTTTCTCAAATCTGGAAGCCAGACTGTCATAAAACGGTATCTCTATGAGTTAGCATAACACTGTCTTTTCATGGTGCATTGATTTTAAGGGAGTTAAATCAAAAATGTTTAAAACATTAATCAAAATGAGTAACCAATCCAAATGTTTTATTCAAAACTTAGCAAAATAAGTTTTTAAGATTATTTGTAAGCACAATGACTATCTGATTAAAACCTAATTGCCAGTTTTTAATAAAATAGTCTATCAACTAGTTCCAAAAAGCTATTTAAAAAAGCTTATGTAAAATTTCAATAAATTAAAAAGAAATATAAAAGGAAAAGGAAGTTAGAAATTATTTACTGAAAGAAAACACAAATAATTAAATTCGAAAAGGTTAAAACATCTTTGAAAAAACGCACTAAGAAGCAGCAGAAATTTCAGAAAAAAGTATCAATACAAGAAACGAATTAAATAAAAATAAAAATATGACCACCGAAGCCGACGTCTTCAGGGGGTACCGGCCTCGGTAGCCATTAAAAACAAAACTATGTGTAGTAAAATATTCAAAAATCTTGTTTTTTCACAATTAGTTAGGATCAAAAAAATTTGCAATAATGTTGAAAGTTTTTGGGAAGCTGTGGATAATTTTTTAAATAATTTGAGTAAAAATGATTTTCCTTTTAATTTTTGTAATGTTAATTTTTTAATTAAAAAAATGATTGATGGTTTTTAAGTTTTTATATAATTTTTTCTTTTAACAGGGCGCAATTCTAGTCTTAACTGAGCAGCCCCAGTTAAGCATTCTATTAATTTATCTACGTATCTCCTTCTCCTGACCTTTTCCATTTCATTTTTAAACTTCTACTGCGCATTATTATAGGGGGCGTTGTTTTTCAGTTTTTAGTGTTTTCTTTTCCTCCACTTGCTTTTGAAGTTGATTCTTGACCTGTGACTGTGAGTTTTTAATTTTCTGATGATTTTTATTGATTTTCTTTTCGTAATTTGTTTATTCTTTTGAATGTATCTTGTTTTTCCTGGACCTCTATACAAAACCATCGGGGTACTGAGGGAGATATTTTAAGCTTTTGCTTCTCCCTCAAATAGAAATGGTTTTGTTTTTAATGGCTACCGGGGCCGGTACCCCCTGAAGACGTCGGCTTCGGTGGTCATATTTTTATTTTTATTTCATTCGTTTCTAGTATTAGAAATTATTTACATACATTTCAATTTTAAAATAAGCACCACATAAAATTAAGCCAAATCATATATTAATACTGTAGTAAATAACTTATAATATTACCTTTAAAACATATGACCTTATTTCGTACATGCTATTCCGGGTTTGAGGTTCAGGATCACCCCAATAGCTGAAAGGCAGCATGTATTGATTAGTGCGACATATTACGTTTTTGACTAGACTTTTAGTCAATGAATGTAGCTCTTGATCTTCATGATATAATGTTAAAACTTCATTGGCATTTTTATATCCTTTATTGTACCGCCAAATATGTACTGAAAGAAAAATTGTTTTTAGCCATTTCAATTATATCTTGTTTTATTTACAAAAGAAAATATGAATATTCACATTAATTCTAAAATAATTATTCATTTAATTTCCATGACTAGAAATAACAACATGTCTTTTACAAAGAAATCATACAAAACCAGATAGGAAAACTAAAAACAATATGTAAATTCATATTTATTTTATTAAATAATTGTTTCTTTTCAGCTTTTCATCCCTTCAGTGGGTCGATAAAACGAGTACCAAGCATGCTTGGCAACTAAACACTGGGGGTTCTGCGTTCCGCTGACTACCAAACCGGAACATCTGCTCTTGCACCCCAGCGCCAAAGGTCAAGAAAACTAAGATGGGCACAGTAGATTTTTTTTATTTCAAGTAAGCTTTCGTTCTTACTTTTCTTTTGTATTTGTCTTGTTTTTATTCTACTGTATAAGTTTCTGTATTTTATATTGTGTTCTTCTGTGTTTTATTGTATTTTATGCATTCTTTTCCTGGACTTTGGCAAAACCTTTGGGGTACAGAGAAAGCAATTTTAGAATTTTTTTCTTGCTTTCTCAATAGAAAAGGTTTCGCTTTTATGACATCCGAGGCTGGTATCCCCTGAAGACGTCAGCTTTGGTTGTTGTATTTTCCAATTTTTTTAATTTTTTTATTGTTTCATTTGTGTAATTCCTTTTGGACTCACTGCTGCTAAGCGCGTTTTTCCATAGGGTATATTATTATTATTTTTAATTGCTTTAATATTTTGAATTCCTTACTTAATATGGGCACAGTAGGCCTCAGCCCTGTATGGGCTATCGCGCCACTGTGTTTAGAGATTTAGCAATTGTTACATTTTCATGACAAGAAATAACAAAATACTAAATAATTCTGCCTAGGCAAAAATAAAAATTTTTAATTTTATTTACATTCCTTCAAATAATCAATAAGGTTGAGATGCCAATAATAAACTCAAGCTTTAGGAAACCAATATTTAAATTTTTAGAACAAGAGTAACAATGGGAAAAAAACAGCTTATATTTTACATTTATTTCGATGAGTTAAACTATTGGGATTACTTTTATATGATAAGCATTTTAAACCTATCAAATTTATTGATTTTTTTTTTCAAATTTAATAGCTGAAAAATTCTATTTTTGCAACCATGAAGATGAGTAAAGTTTTTGTTAGAAATCAGCCAGTAATGTATTCAGAATATTTCATTTATAAGCAAACATTGAAATAACTTATTTTTAAGCAAATATTCTAAAGTAGTAAAATAATTTGTTCTTTCATTTCTTTTTTTAAAACTTTCGTGTTAATTCGAAATTATAATGCAGTTTTGATATTGTTATAAAAAATATTAAAAAAATATGCATTGGTTTCTAAACTTGTGTGTAACATTTGAAAATATAGTGAATGTCTTACGGAAAAAGGTACTTAACACTGAAAATTATAGTCAGACCTCGATATATGGTCACCCTAAGGGACATCGCAAAAAGTGACCTTATAGGCGGGGTGACCTTTTAACCGATTCATTAGCAGTTCGTAACTAAACACGTAAATAATACACATCATTATTTTTTTTAAAATGGTAATACAAATGAAACCAATCAGCCATAAATTAAATATTTAAGTCAATAAATTTTAACAGAATTAGTAAAAAATTAAAGAAAGTTAGATTTTTTTTTAAAATTTATTTAAAAATTTATTTACAAATTTCCTCAAAGTGTACATACATACATTACATCTCACCTTATTTAAAATAATCATTTATGCAGGTCTGTTTTGTTTTTGGTTTCATTTTTCGAACAATGTTTCTAGATTTTGTAACTTCTCAAAATGTTCCTCAGCTCCCTCATGGCTTGTAAAAAAATTTCGTATGACATTTATTGCACTGAAGACTTCTACTTGGGTTACAGCTACAGTCTCAGGATCACTGTCATTGTCCTCATTGTCCACAACTTGTGAAACAATTTCAGAAATTATAGCTTGTTCGTGGGCTGCAACATTTTCCTAGAACTCGAGAGGGGTAATTGCCTTGTAAGGAAGTTAAATACGCTTTTGTTAGAAAAAAGCTCCCCTCGCCTCTGATAAAACCGACCTTATAAGCAATAACGATTTTTAAAACTTGACTATATATCCGATAATCTGTAACAACGAATTCCTATTCAGTGAGCCGGGACTTTGGAAAAGTGACCTTATATGCGGGGTGACCTTTTATGAGGATGACCTTATAAAGAGGTCTGACTGTATTTATGCAGTTTTGTTTCAAATGTTACATAGAACATTAAAAACCAATGTTTCACTTTTTACGCAGACCATACTTCAGAGCAAGATTGGGAAATCAACAGTTCAATAAAGTTCGATTCTAGGTCAGTGTTTAGCATTGACAATAGTACCAAAATTGTCGTTTGTCTTTTAACTTATTAATTTGTGCATCTTACATTTCTACATTATTTTAAGAAGCTCAACTGTGGAATAAATTAGAATGGCTGTAAAATACGAAAATACCATTAGAATTGAAAAAAATATGAATCATCAACACAATTTATGCTGTATGTGTTATAATTCTTGCTTTATTTTAGAAAGCAAATAAATTTTTAAAAAAAATCAAGACTACATAGCTTAAATGCAATTTTTAAAAACTTTTAAAGTCAGTCACTGTTAAAATTATAAGAACACAAAATTCTAAAATGAAGTTTACTCTAGCAAAAATTAAAAAGGTACCAAATTGATCCTGGTTTCCAATTTCAACTCTCCAACTCCCAACTAATTCAGAAGATTTTGAAACATCCTGGAGTTTATTTCTTAAATTTTCACTACAAAAAGGAGATAAAAAAGTACTTTCTGTTACAAAATTATGAAACCATCGTCAAATTTCACAATTAAAAATTTAAGAACAAATGAAATGGTGATCAAGTACAAGGCATTATTTTTAAAAAGTAGTTTAAGACTAGTAGGCATAATTTGTAATAAAAATTTCCTGAAAACCAAAACATTTTCACTCAATACAAAAGCTACAATTTACCTAAAGAAATTAAATATTTGATTTCATAGTTAACTAGCTGCCTACAGTAATTGGATTGACAACTTTTTCAAGTAAAAAAAATTTCGAGATTTAAAATTGTACACACAAAAATTAAGAGAATATATAAATATAAATTCATATTCATTCATATAATTTTCAGATGTTGGGTGTTTTGGGTTTCTTTTTTTTCTTTTTTTTTTTGATTTGAAAAAAATGGGTATAATGATGAATTTGTAATTAAGATGTTCAGTACGACATATTCTTACATTTAAAACGAAAAAAATATACATATATCTATGCTAATTGGCACTATAGTGCTTCTGATGGATAATAAAATAAATTATCAACTTTGTTAAAATCAAATTGCGCACTAATTTGTTTTAATTAATTTTTTGTTGTGTAAGCAATTAAAACTTTTTATTATGTTCCAATGAAATTTATCTGTAAGAGTTTTTTTTTCCGTCAAAACGAAACAAACTTTAACTAATATAAATTTCTAAGTTAAAAGAAACACAAATCTGAAAGAGTAAATTTTACATTTTAAAGCAAAAATACTTTTAAAAATTATAATTATGCTGTTTCTGTCTTGCCTATATCAGTGCTAAATATTTCCAGAAATTATAATTTTGTTTTATGGCATGGTTGAAAAGCTGAAAGTATAACCAAGTGAATGAGAATTTTTGTTAATAAGTTAAATTTAATCCTTACATTTGACATGTTTAATTGGTAATTAAAATATACTTTTTTAAATTTTGCCAACCAAGTTTATTAAACTTTATTAAGCCAGATAGAAGATTTTTGCTAGTTAAAAAATTTCTTTTCTTAAAACTGAGACCCAAGAGTTGAGATTTAACTGATCTAAGTCCTAAAAGTGTGTAGTGAAATATATAATTTATGTACGTTTGGGGCATCTATCTGCTCTGTTGGCACCCTATCTCCTATCTTCTACTTATCAATAGTAAGAACTCTGCTGCGGCCTGCTTTTTCAAGTTGCCACCCACACAAAAATTAACTCCCATAGCTAATTAGTAAAAATATTAATATTGTGATGCATTGTCAAAAATAAATGACATAATTCACTAATGTTTATGTTGTTAAAAAAGCGATAAAACTTATTTTCTGAATTGGCAACAAAGAAATAAAATATCAAATAAGAAATTAGTCATGAGCAGCTTCGAATTTAAGCATAACACATTTTTATTTAGATATTTTTCGTATAGGTTATGAAAAGCTAAAACAAGCTGAATTATAAGTTAAGCAAAACTGACCAGCTCTATAAAAAATAAAACATTTCTATATTCTACACTATATATAAGACTAATGCGTATAGTGTTTAAAAAAAAAAGCAATGAAATTTCTTTTTTGCATAGAAAACACAAAAGAGAAATATCAAATGAGTGAGTAGGCATAAATAAGTCTATAACTTTATGCTAGTTGAATTATGTTAGTCTATTTTCGATAACTTACGTAAAGCCTAAATATTACCTTCTAGCACACTTTAATTCAGTTCAACTATGATTTTAGCGATTTTTAAGGATACTTCATTTTTTTAGAGGTTTCGATTGCTTCAATTTCGTAAAAATTTTGTTTTCATGACAGCGAAAATTTTAATTGATAACAATGGTTTTCAACAATAAAATTTCTATTTCCGACATAAAATTTGTATTCCTTGAAAATTTGCTAACTGCTAAAAAAAACACGATCTAAATCAGTACTCCAGTTCTAGAGTTATTAGCGACGAAACATATAGGCAGACTTCTATATATAGGGATGTAGTACAAGAGCTATACAACAGAACAACTTTTTGGAATCCACCAAGAAATTTTTAAAAAAATTAGAAAGAAATTTTTCTTGACCTCCTAACAGCAAGATAACCAATCATGAATTAAATACTTCATTTTCAAATAAGCCATCACAAATAAAAATATAAGCCAATTATATTAAAAATATAAACCAAAAATATTAAAAGAAATGTTCAAATAATATGCTAAAAATTTAAACAAATAATTAGTAAAAAAAGATCCAACATTTTGAAATACTTGCAAGAATGAAAAAACATGTAGTAGAAAATATAAATCAATAATTAAAATATGAATGAAATAGAAATTAACTTTTAACTTAAAATTAATTTTTCACTAGGTATAGTTAAAATTATGCTGTGTTAATATGTAAAAATCAAATAATTATTTGGTCACTTGAAATAGGACAATTCATGATCTTTTCATGTTGCGACGTAGCTGTTAATCGAGATCCCTGTGGCAGAATCGCGGCGACACAGCGACATTGTCGCAGAGTGTTGCTGAGTTCTTGCAGAAAGAATTTTCTGTTAGGAAGTAAGGAACTTTGGTTTTCTTTTCTGCAGAATTTTTTTTTCTCTAAAATTATATTTAAAAGATACCTTTTTAGCACATCAGAGAGGAAAGAAAAATTCCTGATTTTTCTATTCTAATTTAAGAATGAAAAATATAGAATAATAAAAGAAAGAAATTTCTTTTCTGCAGAAATGTTGAACAATTTTTTTTCCCTCCAGAAATCATTCTTTTGACGCGCTTATTTTGCACCAATATTCTTGTTAATCCACGCCCTATTATCACATTTTGAAAAGAAACAAATTCCGATATTTTTTATACAATTTAATTATACTCGAAACTGAAATCAATTATTTACTTTTACTGTGACGATTTCACCATTTTTCGACTTTTTATTACATGTGCTATGCTACTGAATTCCATGAGATATTTCAAATTCCTGTTATTTTTCAGTCAATATTATTTCTACACGTAAAATTTAAATTGCGCTATTAAATAATCTCTTTTTGAAGCTCTCACTTTATGCCGATACTACCACAAATCCATGTAGTGTTTAGATTGTATTTTCGGCAGTTTATTGATATTGATTTTTTTTTGTGATTTTTAAGTATCCCGATATATTTCTGACAATATGGGGAATTCGAATCGTGCTTATGAATATTTAATTTTTAAATCAATGATTCTATAGTTTTTTTTGGGGGGGGTCTTTTATTACAACAACCGGATCTCGAAACGAAACAAGCATTTAGTACCCTCCCCCCTTTTTTTTTGAAGAGTCCGATCAGCGTGATTTCGCCGTCGATCTTGTTTTCAGTAGTCACTGCTACGGATTACAAGATTTTAAAATTTTTCTTGATGAGATGATGTTTTACGAAATGTGAAAAAGGAAATAATTAGTGTGTTTTCTTCATACAAAATGGGAGAATCTCGCCATTGTATTAGAATAATATAAAAACATTACATATTCATTTAAAAAATAAAAACGATTTTTATTTTATTCAAAAGGTTTTTTTTTTTTTTATTGTGAACGCAACGTTTCTGTTAATTCAAATTCAATTAGTAACATGCATACTTGTTATTATTAAAAGCATCTTGCAGAAAGTTATTAGTGCTAGAGAGGTTTGTCGCAGAAATCCCAAGAAAATTCTGCCACAGGGATCGAGATTACAGCCAAAATGTAAATATTTTCCAAAAATTTTATACAAATTGAAACAAATACCAATTTTGAAGCTTGCTTGTTCCTCCCAAACAAATTAACAGGCAAAGTTTATCATGTAACACAACTTTTTTCCTTGATTCAAAGATCAACAAAAGTTGAGGCAAATATTTACAGAAAAACAAAATGGTTAAAAATTGTGCCTATCACAGGTCTTCTATTACAAGCAACTAGCTAAAATTTCTATAATACTCACTAATCTTTCAAATAAGGATCAATGCATTCAGGCTTTACATCATGAACTGCAAAGAATGTTAAATTTATAAATACATGAATATAATCATACTTTCTGAAATAAAAAAAAAATACTTTTAATAAATTTTTCATTAAAGTAGCAAAAAGAATTCTTTTAGATAGCACTGACTGAAGTAAAAATATTATGTCATTTTGCTACATCTAAAGGTATGTCTGAGACTGATTAAAAGTACTTTTTATTAGTTTTAATACAAAAAATACTAGTTATTTTGACACATATATTTTAAATTTTTTTCATTAAAAATTAACAGTTTCATGCAAAAAGACTTTTAAATTATAAAAATGTTTAGAAAACTATTTTAGGTATTTTTTCTACCATGACTCTCATTTTTCTTCATAATTTAGGTTACTAAACTAAACTCAGCGGCACGACAGCCCATACAGGGCCAAGGCCTACTGTGCCCATCTCAGTTTTCTTAACCTTTTTTGGGCTCTGGGGTGCAGGAGCACATGTTCCGGTTAGGTGGTCAGCCGAATGCGAAACCCCCAGTGTTTAGTTCCCAAGCATGCTTGGTACTCATTTATCGACCCACAGAAGGGATGAAAGGCTGAGTCAACCTTGCCCGGCCTGAGGATCGAACCAGGGACCTGTGGCACGACAGTGCGAAGCGCTACCACTCAGCCACCGGGCGTCAATTTAGGTTACTACGTCAGGAATTTCTGGCATTGAAACAACTAATACACACAGTGGATAATCAGCTTTTTTTCATTTTTAACTTTTTAACCTTAAATCTAGACTACCTGTTTAAAGAACCAGGTAATATTTGCCTTCCAGAAGAATTTTTTTAAGTGAAACTAATCAGCATTTGCGCAAACTAGAGGTAAAAACCACAAAAACCTCTCATGGTTGGCCCGATCCTAATTGTTGATAGGATATACTTCTAAAAACATATTTTACTTAATCTATTAACTTATAGCCATTATTAAGAGCAACAAATATAAATTTTAAGAAAACTGGAACTATTTTAACTTAATTGTGTCAGTATCTCTTCAGTTTTTTGCATGATTTCATAGTGTTGATCATCACCGATTTATTCATTATTTAGTTTTGCTTCAACCCCTACCAGTAATAGTTTACTGCAAAAGTTGCATAAGTGCTATTTTTTTCCTTTTAATTATTCATTTGTTAAAAAATCTACATTCCTTCATAATGTATGGAAGTTATTTCAAGATTTCCTTTTCTCCAGAGTATTTTCAAACTCCCCAATCCTTAGAATTCGATTCTAAGGAAGCGAATTTCTAAAATAGTCAATGTCCAGGGTTCAATATAAATTAATGCTACAAATTTAAGTAAGACTAAAATAAGAACTTTCCTGAGAAACCTCTTTCCTTTAAAAAAAATTTCACTAACCTGGTTCTTCCACTAAGCTCTTCAAATATCAAATTTAGATAATAGAAACATTTAATATTTTATGAAAGATTAAAAAATACTACCACTAGACAGTTAAAATTCTCGCACTACTATCATTCATAAAAATTATTTTAATCTGAATTAGATATCTGTGCACTCGTAGAAATGGCCAAGAAATTTCACATAATTAAAAACAATTTCTGTACCCATCAGTTAACTGTAACTGAGCTCTTAAATTTTCTGTACCCAGCATAAGTTTTATACAAATAATAAAAGTCTATGTAAAGAAACAAATTTAAGTAATTTAAACATAAAATAATCATTAAAAAAAGGCGGTTGCAACCCTAACAACATTACTCATAATAAAGAAAATACAATGTATCATAATACAGGGTACTTCAAAAAAAATTTTAATGTCAATTTATAAAAAATAAATTAATAAAACATAACAAATAATGAGAGCAGAATTTTACTAATAAATAAATTTAATTAATTTTAAAGTGGCCACCTTTTACATAGGTGCAAACATTTATTGAAATTTTCAACATGAATAAAACAATTAATAAAGAAATTAACTTATATACTTTGTAATTCATAAACCCTCTCAGTATCAGAAAGTAATTTTGAATGTGAATCTTTTCCAGGATCTATTTTTCGTACATGCAACAATTTACTAAGCCAGCCTTCACCACCTGCATTTGCTCTTATCACAGCAGATGAAGACACTAATCTATAATTAATATAATTTGTTAGTATTTTACAAACATAAAAAAAGAAAAACACTTTCATAAAATATAATTTTCAAAAGTAAAATTAAAAAAATAAAATCAGAATTATTTATTTTCAAAAAATCCCTATAAGATTAAATAATACTTGTGGTAACCAATTTTCTCTTAAAGCAATGCTTGTTTGTTTTTTAAACTAATGTGTTGCAATAAATTAGCATTCAATAACCAAACAAGTATATAGCATGAAAATGTAAAATAAGTCTCACACAAGTTTTTAAATTCACAAGAGAAAATTTTAATTATTCAATACAAACTACATAGCTATATTATATAAAATGAATGTAACCATACATCGAAAGTAGTTTTAATATTTTTCTTATGCATTGAAGTATTAAAAAATAACAAATAATAAAATTTTTCAAGCATACATAATGATATACATAATTATAACAATTTTCAAGCATATATTTGAAGTAAAAAGTAAAAACTAGTCCTTTTTTCTACTCCACTATGTCACATGAAATTCAAATAACAGTCAAACCTTAATCAGTCATTCCTTTATCATTTTGTTATAACAGTCTTGCCACAAATTTCATTCTTACACAGTTAATAATATCTGTTTAAATCACTCTTAATTTAGCTGATTCCTGTATCCAAAGTTATAAATTCTAACGGTTTTTTAATATAGATAGATTGATATACACACACATAAAGTTATTACATTTGAAGAAAAACACTTCCTGATGCTTATAAAGTAGAAAATGAGGATTTGATACAATTTGGGGAAAACCTCTCAAACAGTACATTTGACGTTTACGTGTTAGTTGATGAAAATGTAAGCTCGTGGTGCTGTCACCTCAAAAAATTGTTTCCTAAGCAAAAGAATCACCAAGTGACACTGATGAAGATGGCGAGAAATGGAACTCCAACAAGCCTAAAAACCTTTGAAACTAATAGTAACTTTCTGTATTCACAAGAAATTACAGAAAATTAAGAGCAATTTGTCCCAAACATCCAAAATTTATTCTTTGCACTGAGAAGAAAAAGAGTGACTTCAAGTCAAAACTACCCAAAATTTGATGTTGGGTGATTTTTTTCTCACCAACCACTTTTGGAGCATCTTTATTGTAGTCGCTTTTGGCATGTGCCAAAAACAGAAAAACTAAATATTGCAATTCAATTAAATTTAAAGTTCACTGTGATGCCAGAATTGGCATACACATATTTATTTTCTATCTTTTAAAATATCCTTCATTACTTAAGCTTATTTTTATTAATAGAATTACTTTTAAAATAAATCAAAAACTTAATCTTTTTAAGCGAACATAAAATATTTATTTCTTCTCTTCCAGATCAATGTAACGGATACTTTCTTTTTATTTCATTATTATGCAGACATATAAATTCACTGTCGCCTCTAATCGAAAACAAAAATCTATTTATAACTTTTTATTCTAATTTTCCAACGGCTAAATGTTTCGGTT